AGGCTGGAGGAAATGATAGGAGACCTATGCCAAGACTGGCAGAGACAGAAAATGGCAAATTCTTGAAGGACCATGTCTTTAATATTCAAATTGTTCAGGGCTAGCTCTGCAGCCCAATAGTAAAACACTTGCCTAGCATGCAGAAGGCCCTGGGTTTGATCCCCAATATCACTGAAATAATTCAAATTATTTAAAGTTTTCACTATAAAATGGCTAATGTGACATTCACCTCAGCAGGCTGAGGAAGCTGCACTGAGATAGCAACAACCAAAAAAAGTTTTTAAAATTTTATTTATTGTTGAAGCTAAATAGTAATTCTCATGGTTCAGAATCCAAAGGTAAAAAGTGTGTACATTAAGAACATTTTATCTTTTCTGAAATACCCCATTTCCCTTTCTGAAAGCAACTGGTGTCATAGGATTTGTGTGTGTGTGTGTGTGTGTGTGTGTGTAATTTCTTTTGTAACTATCTGAAGATGTTCTATGCAAATATTAAGAGATAATGAGATAATTATACTTAGTTTTTAATGCTCTCTTTTTTTACACAAACGGTAGGTAGCTTATCTACTACGCATACTGTTCTGTACCTTGCTCTAATCGTCTACCACAAGCGCCAACACTGAACACTTAACTCATTTAATTCTCACAACAATCATATGAGGTAGATGCTATTAATATGCTCATAACCCTTATTTTTTTTCCTTTTTTGTTTTTCTTTGTTTGGGTGCATAGCACATATGTATTGGGAATTGAATTCAGAATCTCATGGATGCTAGGCACATGCTCTACTACTGAGCTACACTCCCAGTCCCCAAACCTCATTTTTAGAGGTGAAAAAACTGAGTTTCAATTAAGTTAAAAATTACAGATCCAATAATTGGTGTGGGTCAGACTTGAACTCAGGCAGTCTGATTTCAGAATATTTGTCTTTAACCACCCAACTTTACAATTTCAACCTAAAGAACTTTCTCATTCATTTTCTCAACTGCATAATATCCCATTGAATGGCTGTTGTAAATTATTATTACCTATTGATAAACACTTAGGTTTTTCCCAATCTTCTTCCGATATGCTATAGTGAATAAGCTTGGACACGGTTTCGGAGACTATTTTTTTGACTTACTTTTTAGTTGTAGTTGAACACAATACCTTTATTTTAAATGTTTATTTATTTTTTAGGTGTAGATGGACACAACACAATGTCTTTTATTTTTATGTGGTGCTGAGGATGGAACCTGGGTCCCGCCCGTGTTAGGGGAGCACTCTACCGCTGAGCCACAATCCCAGCCCCCCTTTATTTTGTTTAATTATTTTTATGTGGTGCTGAGGATCAAACCTAGGACCTCACAGGTGCCCCTTCTGAGGCTATTTTTGATAGACTTTGTAAAATTGCCTTCCCTCTTGCCCTACCAATTTATACTCAATGTACACACAGATAAATAAATCACCAGAAATTTTCCCTAGCAGATCCTTATATTATGGCACCACCAGATTAAGAATGATCTAAATTATGCTTCTTTCTTCAAATTTATCCCTCACCATCTTCATAGGAGAATCAAAACACCCTTTGTTATAGCCAGAGGCTAAGGAATTTTCTATTTCCTGTGAAAGAAGAGGGAGGTCTGAAGATACCAGACCATTTGCTAAAGTTGAAATTTGGCAAGTAGCCACTAAACAGCACTTTCATTTTAGTCCCTGAATATATATGTATGCATATATCTTGCTTGCTTACTAATCACAGCCTTGTCTGCTTTTTATCCAATGCCATTTCACTCACTCAAGTGCAAATATTTATTGAATTCCTCTTATATTTAGGCACCTGTTAGATAAAGATGAGTAAAATGCACAAATAGGCTGTTTCAAGTGGCTCCAAAAGGAAGAAATGCAAATGGCTAGGCTTCAACTATGTGCCAGAATAAAATGCTGCTCCCATCTGGGAGTATGCTGCTGCCTGTCAGTTTCTGGGAAGAAACAGGACTGCCTTTGATCTGGCATACTTTTCTATGTAGGCTTTGTTGCTATTTATAATTCTCCCAGAAATTAAGGCAGCATTGGGAGAAAGAGTGGCCTTCAGGGGCTGGGGCTCAGCGGTAGCGCACTTGCCTTGCATGTGTGAGGCACTGGGTTCGATTCTCAGCACCACATATAAATAAAATAAAGATCTATCAACAACTAAGGGAAAAATATTTTAAAAAGAGTGGCCTTCAACTACTGTGTGTGTAAGTTAAGATATTTCAAATCCCAGGGGCTACCATCAGAGTTTATTAGTAGGTGGCGTATTATTTGACTTCAGCATGACAGGAATTTTTCAGTAAGACTTTTCTGAGGTTAGAACTACACCCTACTAGCAACTAAAAATATGCTGCTGGGGAACCTTAAGAGCAAGATGGGAACAGATTTTACTTTGTTCAAAATAACCTATAAATAATGGAAACTTACTTCTCACAGTTCTGAGTGCTAGTAAGTTCCATATCAGGGTACCATCAGATTCTGTCTGGGGAGGGCTGCTCTGCTTCAAGGATGGCACCCTCTTTCTCCAGCCTCTCAGGACAATAGGCAAGGGAATTCCCTCCAATCTGTTTATAAAGGCACCAATTTCATTCATGGGGGCTCCTCCCTCAAGGTTAAATCACCTCCTAAAGGTCCTGCTTCTTAATACTATTGTGTTGGTGATTAAGTTCCAACATGACTTTGTGGGGACATAGGAGCTGGACTTTCATCCCTTAAAAACTTTCTGCATTTGTTAGCTATAGTTTGCTGCAAGTGTATGGACCTTGTGGTAGGGTAACATTTCCATAATCATTACATTACAAACCAACATGACCACAAGTGAATGGTGAAGTTCAGGGTAAAGTAAGCATTTAATGCAGGGTGATTTGAAGGAAGGGAAATTTGCTTGAATTTCTATTAAAACCCATTATTTCTGGTTCAAGGATTGGACCAGAAGTTAAAAACAATGTTGGGGGGCTGGGGTTGTGGCTCAGTGGTAGAACACTTGCCTTGCAGGTGTGAGGCACTGGGTTCAAGCCACATAAAAAATAAATAAACAAAGATATTGTGTGTCCATCTATGACCAAAAAAAAAAACAATGCTGGGGATATAGCTCAGTTGGTAAGAGTGGTTGTTCTCATATTCACAAGGCCCTGGGTTCAATCCCCAGCACCACCAAAAATAAAAATTAAAAACAAAATCTGTTTAACAGGACCCCACAGCTGAAGAACAGGGAGGGGTCACTTTTCTCTCTTTCTGCCATTCCTGAAACAAAATAGGTTATGTCCTTTTTGTTGAGAGAATAGCCATCATCTCTTTAGTTCTTATCTACCAGCTCTCAGTGGGATCAACTTGTTTAATTATTTTATTTTATTTTGCGGTGGGGATTAAACCCAGGGCTTTACCCATACCAGGCAAATTCTCTATCACCAAGCCCATTTTAAAAATTTGAGGCACGGTTTCATTAAGTTACTCAAGCTAGCCTCAAACTCGAGATCCCCCTGCCTCAGCCTCCCCAGCCGCTGGGATGACAGGTGTGTGCCACCACACTTGCTTCACTTACATTGTATATTTACCCAGAGTGAATTTGTGAAGGGGGAGCACATGAAGATTAATTGGGTAAAAAGCAAGGTCACTGATGTGACTAATGCTTAATTACAGCATAATACCTGATACTTGAAACTTAACTGCAAATATTCATCAGTATTTCCCACTACACTAAATTTCTTGGAGGGTGGATCCCATCTTATTCATCTGGAATTTATTATTATTATTATTTTAATATTTATATTTTAGGGACTGGGGTTGTGGCTCAGCAGTAGAGCATTTGCCTAGCACCTGCGAGGCCCTGGGTTCGATCCTCAGCACTACATAAAAAATGAATAAATAAAATAAAGGTATTGTGTCCAACTACAACTAAAAAATAAATATATTTTTTTAAATACTTAATTTTTAAAAAAATATTTATTTTTTAGTTGTAGGTGGACAGAGTATCTTTTTTTATTTTTTATTTTTATGTAGTGCTGAGCATCAAACCCAGTGCCTTAAGCCGGCTAGGCGAGTACTCTACCACTGAGCCACAATCCTATTATTATTATTATTAATATTATTATTATTTTACAGTGCTGAGGGTCAAACTCAAGCCCTCATAAATGCTAGTCAAAAGTTCTATCATTGAGCTATATCCCCAGCCCCTAAAGGTGAAACATAAATTTTGAGGGTTTTTTTTTTTTTTTTAAGTAATCTTGACTAAAAATGAGTTTGTTGTTAACTAGAGAAATAATAAGTCTCTTTAAGGGCTTTTGACATTCTGTTAGAAACAAACGAAAAAGTTTGGGAAAATAAGGTTGACAAAATCTTTTTATCAGGGCTAAAAGCTGTGGGCTCAGCATGTGTAAGGCACTGGGTTCGAGTCTCAGCTCCACATATAAATAAATGAATAAAATAAAGATCCATCAATATTTTAAATTCATTAAAAATCTTTTTATCATTACTCAAACCTATTGCTTATTGTCTGTTAATTCTTGGTTCCTCTTCTTTTTAAAAATAATAAAGCTTGAACGCTATTGATTTAGACTTGTAATTCATACGGTCAGACTCTATACATCACACTTCTGGACGTTTTATTACAAAGCGGCAAGCAACGGAAGGGAGCAACGCCGCTGAAAAACTGCTCACAACAACTTAGTGATCGCAGGCTCATTGGATGACAGCGACATACTCGCTATCCAATCGCCAGGAAACCCGGAGTGAACGCTCTCTGGATTGGTGACAGGAAACATCTCTCCAGGTAATTCAAGAAGGCAGGCAGCACCTCTGGCCAATCAGAGGAATTCTGGGGCCGGCCTTGCCGCAGGGGGTGGTATAGAACAAGTCACCGGAGAAAAATCTCCGCGGTCAGACCTGCCTTCCGCGAAGGGAGAGGGCGTGGCCTCCGGCTGTGAGCTCCAGGCAAGTGGGCGGGGCGAGTAGATTCTGCGGCGGAGCCGGATGCGGGCGGCGCCGCGGCCGCCGCGGCTCTAGGAATGGGCGGAGCCCCGGCCGCTTGTGCTGGTGGCCACCGCCGCTGCCCAAGCCGGAGACCGAGCTGCCGACTTAGTTCCCGCGCGTCGCTGCTTCTCAGAGCGGCGGAATGCTGGGGAAAGGGGTAGTCGGCGGTGGCGGTGGCACCAAAGCGCCAAAGCCCTCCTTCGTGTCGTACGTGCGCCCGGAGGTGAGAGTGCGCCGCGCGGGCGCAGCGTCGGGCTGGAGTGGCCGGGACCAGGGGTATCGGAACCGTGCCTTGACGCGGAACCGGGCGCTTCCTGCCGGTCTTCGGGGCGGGGCGAGGCCCTAGGGCCGCAGCGGCCTCGCTCGGGCGGGGCCGGGACCCCCGGGCGGGCAGGCAGGTGCTCGAGCATAGCGCCGGGCTCGCTGGCCAACGAATGAAGGGGCCGGAGCCGGGAAGATCTTGCGGCTGGGCCGCCCTGGGGTACTCTAGTAGTGAACTGGGATTATGGGCACCGCTCTGAGAGGGAAGAGCTAGTGTTCGGGACCCGCATGGGGCCGCTCCTAGAGTCCGCAGCCCGGTGGGTCTGTCCTGCCCTGGACTTTGTCCGTGAGTCTTCAGGGCTCTCCTGTCCCAGCTGCCTGTTCTGAGTGCCATTTGATGCCACTGGGGGGATACTTTGCACCACCTGCTGCCTCCCATCAGCGCTGCGCTGCGGCTAGAATGTGGGTCGGCCCTGGCCTCAGCCTGTCTCTGTCTGACCCTTGTGAATTCCTCTGTTTTGTTTCTTTCCCTTTCATATCACCCCCGCTTCTTGTGGTTCCCCTGCCGTTTTACTGTCAAGAAGTTCGTTCGTTCATTCATTCATTCTTAAATACTTTCCGAGCTCCTACTGTGTGCCAGGAGGCACTGTTCTGAACACTTGTGATATACATCATCAGTGAGCAGAACAAAGATCTCTCCCCGGAGCTTATATGAGAGGGAGAAGAGAAACTGACTAAATCATAGATATATAAGCAAATTATAGGGTGTATTAGAAGATAAGTATGGGAAACAAAAGGCATCCTTTTCATCCTTGAAAAGGGGCATTTGAGCCAAAACATGAGCGAAGAGTGGTTCAGGTAGCTGGGCCTGGTCTGGCCTGGGGAAAGCCATGAAAGCTTGGAGGAGCACAAGGGAAGCCAGCATTGCACATGCCCTATGGGCAGGAGGGAGAGGTAAAGGCAAATTTCTAGACCTTTTTAATGGTTTCTTAGAACTGTAACTTTTAATGAATGCCTAATTAAATGCCTTCACATTTTGGATTTGTTGAAGGTTTAATCTACCTTTCCCTACATACAGCACTTTAATCAACAACATATACAACTATCAAATTCCCTATCTCCAGATGTCTTTTCCCACTTTTCACCTCTGTAAGGCAGAGACAAGTGAGCTGTGGATGAGAGGTCTTAATCAGGGACTGCTTCTTCAAGACTACCTGGACTCCATAACCTTTGCATATGAATCTTCAAGTTCAAGATGAGTGTGTTTTCTCTAGTAGAGAGTACTTTTGAAATGGGCCTTATTTTTAGTCCTAATTTTAAAATAAAAACCACTTCCTCTGTTAGTACTTTATATGGAGTCACGGTCATCTTAAATTTTCAGCAGACTTCCCGTGTAATCACATGTAAGTAATGTGGTCAGTTTCTTTTCTTTTTTTTTTTTTTTAATATTCTCTTTTAAAAAATACCTTTATTTCATTTGTTTTATATTTTTGTGGTGCCAGGGATCAAACTCAGTGCCTCACATATGCTAGGTAAGCCCCTCTACCACTGAGCCACAACCCCAGCTTGGTCAGTTTCTTTTTGTGTCTTTTTTAATAGAGCCCTGGTTGAAGAACAAGTGATCTTTAACCTTTCCTCTTCAGTGAGATTAAACTTACAAGTGGAAAGTCTTCTGAAATGTGGCCAGAGTTCAAGAATGTTCAAATTCCTCATCCACCAAACGCACATGTTGTAATTAGACATGTTTTCACTCTTTGCCCACAGTTCCTGATATATTTCTTTTGAGGGATAATTAGGAAAGGAGAGTAGTTCAGCTCCCAGATAAGCCTGAGTGATTGCATTTTTCAGATCCTTAGAGTTGGCAGTTTTGTTTTCTTGCATTAAAATAATGCTGTCAGATGCTATTCTTCTCTGTTGTATTCTGATTCTAAAAAATATTTTGTAACAGGATAAGGCTCTCACCTAAATTATGGATGATTTTTTTTTTTAAGTAAAGGTAGGAGGAGGTGAGAAAGAATTTATTTTTAAGTATATAGCTTTGCAAGACTTCCCATTATGGGAAATGCATGTGAGCAGCATTGAGGCATTGTTTATGTGTCACAGAGCCTTGGGTCTAGTAACCTCTACACTCACCCAGTGGGAGAGTCCCTCAGAACACTTAAAGTTGTCATTCACTGTTTCTACTCCTGTGTCCCTCATGTTGCCTTCATCTTTACAAGCCTTTGGTATATGGCTTGCTATCACTTCTTTCTTTTGCTAGCTGGAAATTGCAGTTTCTCAGATGCTTTTTTTTGGGTAGATGTCTGAGCTGCCAGAACAACTTTTAAGCCTTACAGTATAATGATAGCTAAGTAGGGAAAAGCTTATTCTTGCCAGATCAGATCCTGGAATGTTCAATGTCAGTGGCCTTCAGTATACCAAAAAGTCTCAAGAGTCAGCACTTTGTGTTGAAAAACAAAAATAAAGTATTGATAAAGTATTTGAAGATAATGTTGTTAAACATAGGCTTATTTTTTCCTTGATCAAAAAGAACTGACGTGCTGGGGATGTGGCTCAAGCAGTAGCGCGCTTGGGGATGTGGCTCAAACAGTAGCACGCTCGCCTCCACGTACAAACAAAGATGTTGTGTCCGCAGAAAACTAAAAAAATAAAATATTAAAAATTCTCTCTCTCTCTCTGTTTAAAAAAAAAAAACTGACTTTTTGGGCTGGGGCTTAGTGGTAGAGTGTTTGCTTTGCATGAGTGAGGCCCTGAGTTTGATTCTCACCATCACATAAAAATAAATAAAGATATTGTGCCCATCTACAATTAAAATAACAAAGAACTGACTTTTGATAGCCTAAAATGAGAGAGAATAATTAACCCCAACTTTTAAAAATTAATCTCTGCCAGAGTAACTTGTGCTCTTTTGTCTTTAATTCTGGTAAGTCAGTGAATATGACAAGTAAAACTCTGAACTGTAATTGGGGACCTGTAGCCAAGTTTTGTAAATTATTCAGAGAGTTACTAGTAAGTAGGAAATTGAAGGCTCTGAACGTTTAGGTAAACAAGAGAGAGGAATCTGGGGCCATATTTGTACTTGATGTTAGGTGCCTAAAAACATCTCAGCACCCTTATCTTAGCTCAGTCCCAAGCACAAGATACAAAGGATGTTGGTGCCTATGTGCAAGGGAACTGTTGGGTACTGAGATCTGCTCCAGGCAGGTATCTAGTTATAGTTTGGATGCTGGATCCATCTTTCATCTTAAAATATGACACTTAAAGTTTAAATTATTATTTTATCAGAAGCCGTACATAGATGTTCATTACAGAAAAATAAGACAAATATATACAAAAATGTTAAGTAAAAATTATAAACTTACCAACAATTTATGTATCATCAGATGTGTGTATAGGTACATACATATACGTATATGTAAATATATATGTGTGTATATGTTACAAAAATGGGATTAATACTGCTAATTATACTGTTTTTTAAATGTTTTTCTCCAAAAATGTGTATTATAAACATCTTACCATGTCAGTTGTTCAGTTACAACATTATTTTAAATTAGCAAGAGCTAGAGATGTAGCTCGGTGACAGAGTGCTTCCCTAGTATGCTGAACCCCTGGGTTCAGTGTTTACTACATCAACAAACAAACAAATAAACCTCTTCCTGAATAGAAACACACTGTGGTGGAAAGCTAAAGTAGACTTAAGGAGATGATTTTCAAATTCAGATAGTTTTGTTAGGAACTTTTTCTGATGCTGAATGACAATTCTGATTCTTCAAGACTATCAGTTCTTTGCTCAGATACCTTGAAATTGTTAGCACTGGTTTGGTAATTTATAATGATTAGAAATTCTTAGCACTGTACCGTGAAGCTTTTACATAAAGGACAATTTGGTGATCCTAAGAGAAAGTTCTGATTTAACAAGAATCCGTTTCATTGTGATAGTCAGTAAAATAAGAGCTGCAGGGAGCTTGCATGTTCTTTAAAACTGACCTGGAAAAATTTAGCTTTTAAATTGCTGCTGTACTTGTACTTATTTTTGTGTGGTCTTCAAATATGGTTACAATGAATTTTCTAAAAGATCTTGAGTTGATGTTTCACTAGAATATAATAATAATTATTATCAATGATGGATTTTTAGATTTGAAAGATTTTAATCTAGTCCACCTCTCTACTTTTTTCCATTATATAGATGTGAAAAACTGAGACCTACCAGATTAAATGTCCTGCTCAAGAGCACAGTGGTATTGCAGAATAGAGATCAGAGTTAAAAACTGTCTTCTAAAGATCCAGCAGTGTTAGTGGCTAAGCCAGACCCACAGGAACTCTGGAAAGGCTTTATATAGATGTGGGAAGAAAAGGCAAGAAGAGAGATGAAGATTGAGAAGGGCAAAAATAATAAATAAATTAAATAATGGTTGTGAGAGCCATTTTTTTTTTTTAAATTTATCCCTCAGGGAAAAATTGCACAGCCCTTTTTTTAACCCATTCCTTTGGTGGGGAGAAGTGAATTTGTGATAATGCATTCTTCCCAGAGATAGGACTGTGGGTATATACCAAAACAGACAAAGTAATTCCTAATATACTTATTAGGCATTTCTGTGCCCAGGATCTATACTTATTTCATATTTTCAACAATCTTATGAAACAGATCCTATTATAACTCCCCTCCCCTTTGTTTTCAGATGTGGAAAACGGCTCAGAGAAGTTAAGTACCTTGTTCAAGATCCTAACTAGTGGGATTGGGGATAGCTCTGTGGTAGAGTAAGACCAGGGTTCAATCCTCAGTACCACCAAAAACAAACAAAACTAGCAATTTTTGGTGCCAGATTTAAAAGTCTTACTCCAGCTGAGCACAATGGTGCATGCCTGTAATCTCAGCAGCTTGAGATGGGCCAAGGTAGGAGGATCTCAAGATCAAGGACAGCCTCAGCAACTTAATGAGGCCCTAAGCAACTTAGTGAA